AGATAATTAATTATTTATCCAGATAATTTATTTAGATAATTTATCTAGATAATGCTCAACACTGGTCCTCATTCAAGTTTACTTTTTCACACAGAAGTTAGATGGCTATCCCGTGGCAAGGTACTTGCACGTTTATTTGAACTAAGACATGAGGTCCAAATATTTTTTGAAGATCATTCTTTTCAATTATCTTCAAAATTACACGACTGCAATTGGCTTCAGGCGCTTGCGTATTTATCTGATATTTTTTTACAAATAAACAATTTAAATTTGGCACTTCAAAAAAATTCAATAACGATTTTCAGTGTTTCGGATAAAATTAAATTAATGCTTAAAAAAATAGATTTTTGGAGGGTATGTATTGAAAATGACCAACCTGAGGTATTTGAAACGTTACACAATTTTCTATCTGAAAATAAACTAGTTATGTATCGGGGAATTAAGAAAAACATAATTGAACATCTGGAGGGGTTAAAATTATCATTCAAAAAATACTTTTCCAAACCTGAAAAAGAAAACAATTGGATTTCAAATCCTTTTAATGAAGAATTCTTTCAAAAAGCGACATCTTTATCAATCGTAGAAAAAAAAAACTTGATAGAACTTTCATGTGACATGACTTAAAAAAGTGAGTTTAAAAGAAAACAATTTATTAATTTTTGGGTAGATATTAGAAACGAATATGAGCGACTCTCTGACAAGACAATTGAGTTCCTATTGCCATTTACCGGTACGGAGTTGGTCGAAAAAACGTTTTCTTCATATATATTTATTAAAAATAAGTATAGAAATAAACTTGATGCATCCAGATTTACGATTATATCTCGCATCATTTGAACCTGATATTAAAAAACTATGTAATTTGAAACAAGGTCAAGGATCTCACTAATTATTTCATTTAAATTTTTTGTTTATTAAATAAGTAAAATAAGTAATTTTTTTATGTGTCTTATTACTCAATATAAAAATATACATATTATTACATTATATTATATTATTGTTATTTTTAATTAAATGTTTTAAGAGTGGTTATGTGAAAAATTTTTAAAAATATAAAGAGGGGGGGTACAATTTAGAAAAATATTAAGTTTAGGGGTACAGAAGGAAAAAAAGGTTGGGAACCGCTGGTATATGGAAAAAATTTACAAGATCATAATAATAAATTAAAAGAAGTATTTGAGCGACTAATAAATAATAATTTTAAAATACAACCAGAAAATGTGAATTTTTAAAAAGAGAATGTATTTATTTAGGTCATGTAATAACAAAGCACAGTATAAAACCAAATATTACTAAGATAAAATCAGTGTTAGAATTTCCAACACCAATAAATGTAAAAGGTATTAAATCATTTTTGGAACTGCAGGTTATTATAGAAAATTTATAGAATCATATAGTGCATAAGAAAAGTCATTAACAAATTTACTTAAGAAAGATATAAAATTTAATTGGGCGGACGAATGTCAAAAATCATTTGATAGTTTAAAGCAGGCATTGTGGTCAGAACCTATATAACAGTACCAAGATTTTGCAAAACCATTTATACTAACAACCGAGGCGAGAAACAAAGCGTTAGGAGCAATTTTGTCTCAAGGGGAAGTGGGAAGGGACTTACCTATAGCATATGCCTCACGAATATTAAATAAAAGTGAAAGTAATTATAGTACCATAGAATTAGAATGTTTAGTGATAATATTCGACGTTAATCAGTTTAGATCATATTTATATGGAAGAAAATTTATAATTATGAGTGATCATAGACCATTAACGTGGTTATTTAATTTCAAAAATCCTTTATCAAAACTCATTAGATGGAGAATACAACTAGAGGAATATAATAATGAAATTAGATATAAACCAGGAGTATTAAATTCAAATGTAGACGCACTTAGTAGAATGTATACTATAGAAGAAATAAAAAGTGAAAGTTACGAAACATTTTTAAATAAATTGGAAACACAGTTAATAATAAATAATAATGTAAAAGAAATAATAGGAAATGTATTAGATGCACCTGATACGTATCATATAGTAACTGAAATAGAAAAACAATATCATTTCAATTCGGAAATAATCAAACCTTATCACCGAGTAAAATGATAGGAGATATAAAATATTTTAAATCAGACAATCAATATATAATATTTTTAATAACTAAAAATAAAAAACGTCAATGGTCAACATATGAAAATATATACATATCATTAATAAACTTAAAACAATTTTGTTTGAAAATGATTATAAATAATATAATAATCGCAACAATAGAAAGGAACTATTAATTTAATTAGAGGGTAACACAAGCACATATTATATATGAATCGTATGGCTATATCCTAAGTGTGACATTAAAAATAACTATTACAGAAAGACATTAGTATGATATATAACGGAGATGTAGGTCCTTACTAATTATATGGTGGAGAAGACAATTAGTACATAATAAATTAAAACCATTATAGAAAGACACTAGTATGATATATGCAAAATGCGGGAATCACGAGGACAACTGGTTACGTATAGGTAATCTGGGGTTGAGCGCACGAAACACAAGTAACATCAAACTAAATACCGAGGTGAATCGCATAGGACGAGTGGTTTAGCATTCACTAGGTACTGGTCAACTATGAGAAACTTTGTATACAAAAGTATAAAGGGAGTTCCGAATAGACCAATGTCAGAAGTGTTTAAAACGTGTTTTAGTGAGCTACTCCACGCTAGTTTATTTGTTGATTTAATTAAATAATTTGTACTTAGAAATATTTCAATAAACAGTTTAACATAGTATGAGTATTTTATTTGGAATATTCCTAAAGACATTATTACCTTTACGGTTTAACTGCCACACTTAACAATTGAAATCTACAAATTGTAATCCCAGGATTGATATGTTAGCTAGAAAAATCCAGCAATATATTTCTCATTAAAAACAAATTTTTTTAATCATTAAAAAATATTTAAAAAAAATGTTGTTTTTTAAATGTTTAAAATTATGTATAATAATATGTAATAGTAAATACTGTAAAGTTTAAATATAACAACAAATAAAATCCTGTTTACATTTTTAATTGATTATTATTCAAGTAAAAATAAAATGTCTAAAAAGTTTCGCACTCGAAAGGCAAATAAAATCAAACCAAAAATTTTGATTTAACCCGCAGTAATCAAATGGTTCGCCATCATTGATTTATACCAACAACAACTTAGATAACTGAAATATTTTGTAGACTACCTACTTGTAACATTTTGTTTTATTCCATTGGATGAACTAAAATAATCGTTTTAATTATTTCATAAGTAGATGGGTATCAAATATAACTATAGTATAACAAAATATTTTTTAAATTTCACTATTCATAAAATAATTTATAATAATAACATTACAACTATTGAATTATTTATGATTTATAAATCAATATTTGTACCTACAAACTTTCCTTAAATGATTCACTTTTCTGTTCTAAACATTCAGAAGAAATAAAATGTGATCTTTTTCATATTATTTTCTCCTGTACCTTCTTGTCTTCCAATCGTTCACTCCCCTTTAATTGTTTATTTTACAAGTCTATAATTTTTACATATTTTAAAGCTATATAATATCAATGTAATTTTTCTATATTTTTACGAGCATTACTGTTGAAATAAATTATAATTGTATATAACTAGGTACACCCCATATGTACACTTATAAATAAAATATTATAACAATTATAATAGTTATACTAACCACAGATAATAAATATTGAATCAAACATATTATTTGCAGCCACCTGAAATACAGAGACACAAAAGACAGTCTGGAAATAGACGACAATCTTCGCAAGCATTAGGTCCCGATCCAGGTAACGTCAACAAAATTATAAAAATTTTAAAATTAACAAAATTGTACAGTTTAATATAACTATCTATGTAACCACCTATACCTCCCACAAATTTGTAAATTAGCCTTTAGTTATAAAAGCCAATAATCCTTGTTGTTGTAGCTTAAAAAAAAAATAAAAACCTTGAAATGTATAGACAATAAAAATTACAGTTACATCCGTGACTATGGTATGATCACATGAACGATAACCGTTTACGTACATTTATATATTTTAGCGACATGCGCCCAAAAAAGCAATTCAATTACGCACGATTAGTATGTTTGTATTTCATTAATTTTGATGTAATTGCTTCTTAAAACTAATTTATTGATATATTTTTTTTATTAAATTAATTAATAAATATTATGCGTACAAAAAATTTGCCTCATGCTGGACTCGATTTTGGCCAATTTTAAATAAATGTTGTACATATTTAAAGGATCCTACATTTTTTAATCTTTTTTTTTTATATCAAAAACAATTTTATTGTACCGCATAAATTCATCAAATATATTATTGCCACAAAATAGTGAATTGTTTTATTTTACATTAATATTTTACAGTAGGTGACAAATTATTGCTGATGAATGAACAAAATAGCAAACGATTAGTCATTTTACATGTCAACATTTGTATTGGTGGGGTTTTTACATTTTTGTTTGTACACAAACGAGTTGAAAGTTTGCAAGTAAAAAATTTTGTAATGTGCGCAAACCAGTATCATCAAACTATATATATTCATATTTATATTAAATTCTTACGACACTACTATATCCATTATTTACAATATTATTAATTTCAGATCGTAACTTTATAATTTGAAAACCAATTAGACATTTTAAATCAAAATATCACACAAGTTAAAGCCAAAACTTCATTTTCTAAACAATTATAATAAATAGTAATTTAATATAATTATTAAATAATATTTTATTTTGTGTTGGCTGCATTTAAAAAATAATAATCATACAGCATAAAAGGCATGAATAAATAATGTGTTTATTTAATCGTAGATTTATTTAGTAATTGAAATTTGAATTGCTTAAGATTTCATTAAAACTATTTAAAACCTCATAATTTTCTCTGCGTTTGTAAAGTTTTTAATTTTACAAAGAATAAATAGAATTCATTACTACGATGGTTCAAAAAGGTGTACTATTCCAAATAATCGCAGCTTTTGCCGGTAAGTATACGACAACATTAGTACAAGTTAAATGTGAACATTTATGTCTTATAATGTTCGTGTATTGATGTATATAACTAGCTTTAAGAAAAATTAATCAATTTTACATTAAACCATATCGTATTATACCGCTCTTGTTGTTATAATTCATACCTAAGATAAACAATTTTCTAAATACTTATACTTGAGCCAACGTGGTATTAACTCAAATAAATAAAAAGTAAAAACGACTTAGTGCATTCCGAACATAATAATCCGATAAGTTCTGTAAAGCAAACTAAACGCATGCGAAAAACTTTAAACATTTGTTACTTGGGTTTTAGCTACTCTTGGAGCAATGACCATGGGCACAATTCTTGGCTGGTCATCTCCGAGCCTGACTATATTGCCCGACGCAGTTTCGTTTCCAGTCACTTTAGACGATGCAGCGTATTACGGTTCTGTTTTTGGAATCGGAGCGTTTTTCGGCTCTATACCGGCTGGAAAGATATCAACTTTTATCGGTCGCTGCAACAGCATGATAATCTACGAGCTGTTTATCATTATGGGTTGGATCATTCTCACCATACCAAATGCTATGTGGATGCTGATCGGTGGTAGATTACTTCAGGGTGTCGGTGTTGGTGGATTATGTGCCATCATACCATCATACATTGGCGAGATTACAGAACCAAAGATCAGAGGTAAGTGTAATCTAAGTATTGGTGGATACACATAAAAGTAATAATGACGATGCATCTTGTAATCATACACTGAATTCGGAAGTCACACTTCTCGATCGAAGCACATGCGCAGTGGCGCATTTAGGGAGGGTTGAGGGTACGAATGCTCCCTGCGGTTAAATTTTAACAGTTTTAGGTGCGGCGGTTTTATTGAGACAATTATTATTTATTTATTTTTTATCACACAATGAATAACATTGATCAACAAGTGTTGTATACCATTTTTTTCATTAATCAATGATTTTCTAATAACGGATTATCCTATCGAATCTTTTTGAGTTGAATGTGATTTGAATACGACTGCTACCGCATAAAACGATTATTACTATACAAGTTCAAGGTATATATTTAAATAATCTGTGGTGTCAGGTGTAATGTATACTCATTTTTTGTGTTTTTTTTATAGTACCTAATCTATTCGCATAGACAATTAAAAAAAAAAAAAAAAAAATGGAACAAAACTGTTAAATAAAATTTACTTGTATCATAATTTGGTATGATTTTTTACTTGAACAAAACACTTTGAAATTATATACTATTAAACCATAGGATATAGATTTTTATACGTTATTCAAAACAAGCGAGGGGCATATTTTTCATTAATTAAGAGAGGAAAGGGAAGGTCTGAGATTCTAAAGAGTAACGAAGTGTTGTGTGTATTGGGGGGGGGGGGGAATACAATAATTTCGTTCCAAGGCGAATATATTCTAATATACCAATGTACACACATATGGTTTTTACAGGCACATTATCAGCGTCATTTCAAATTTTTATTTGCATCGGTATTTTATACTCCTTTGCCCTTGGCTCGGTCACAAAATATGTCGTGTTCAACGTGCTGTGCGGTATATGGGCCTTATTTCATGTATTGGGAGCAATCATGATCCCTGAATCTCCGTATATTCTGTTGAGTAAAAATAAGGACGAACAGGCCAAGGTTTCATTGAAGAAATTCCGAGACGGAAACGATGATGCTATCTCCAAGGAATTGTCTAGTATAAAGGTTGTACAAAGATATATCATATATGTACATTCAAGATAGTGATGTTTTTCCATATGACTGATACGTTTTTTTGGGTTGTGTTTTATAGAATGAAATTGAGACGCAGAGGAATCAAAAGAATTCATTCATGCAAGTTCTGGCGGACAGAGTTAATCGCAAATCTATTTTCATTGGTGTTGGTTGTATGTTCTTCCAACAGACAAGTGGAATCAACGTGATAGTTTTCTACATGAGTTATATTTTCAAAATAACTGAAAGTTCGATAAGCCCTCAAACTGCATCCATAAGTGTTGGAGTGGTTCAAGTTAGTATCGATTTTATTCTTCTTATATCGTCCTTTCTAAAGCGAGCAAGCAATCATGTTATTGTAAATGTTTTACACGCCACGAATTTTAAATCGCGCGTTAATCCATTTTTTTTTTTTTTTAACATATATCGGTTTGTGATAATTTCTATAACACGCAACGCATTTCGCCATTCGATTCCACGTTTTAAACATTTTTGAAAAACGTGTGACGTGTGATGAGCAACAAAGTGAATCGCTTATCAAACTTTTTAGGGTCATTCATCAAATGTGAAAATAAGTTCATAAATATTCCTTTTTCATCTTTTTCCACGAACCCAATATCTACGACTGTTATTGGTTTAATTTAAAATATATATAGTGCCTCAGCTATTTCATTTATTCGACCTCTTCATCCCAATTACTGTAAGATGAACGTGTGAAATATGAACAATCCATTGTTATATAAAAAATAATCACTGCTTAGGTAGACGTCAACTTACAATGCAATAACAATACGTTATTGAATATAAAATTACTTAATGGAAATATATATATATATATATATATATATATATATATAATATAGAGTGTGTTATTCTCTGCGCGTTGTATATAATGGGCACATTTTTATATCACACGTAATACCACGGCAAGGCATATCAAGGAGTATTAACATGTTGCGTGTGCATAGTGTCTCTAACTTAACTAAAATGTTTAAGTTACTACCTAAATTTTTAAGATTAAAATGTAAATTTTAGTTGTAAATGGTAAGGGCATACAGTATTTCAAATTATGTATATTTATGTAATTTTAAACTATTAACTTTTTTTAATATTGTAATCCACTTAATTGTATAAAACAAGTTTCTATCAAAAACACATTTAATGCAAACCATACACTCCTACTCAATTATTAAAGTTTACTGTTGATTAATATAAATGTTTATAATAATTTATGAAATATAGAGCTAATATGTAGGTAAGCAATATCAGTAAAATCACATAAAATTAAATTTATTAATAGACTTTACAAATTTATTTATTTTTCATTATGTTGCAGGTGATTATAACATGCATTGCAATGGCAGTAATTGATAAACTCGGTCGACGAATATTATTGCTAGTTTCAGCGATTCTAATGAGCATAAGCTGTGCTGGTTTAGCAATTTACTTCATAATGATACAACATGATATGTCGCCTAAAGCTTTTGCATGGTTACCCTTAACATTTGTTGTTCTATATATTTTGGCTTTTGCTATAGGATTTGGCCCTGTCCCGTGGGTAGTAATGGGAGAGATTTTCTCCAACGAAGTATGTTTAGTTTTTATTAAAATATTTTATTGATAATTTTAGTATAAAATATTATGATTTTAATTTTTAATCGATTTTTGTTTAGGTGAAACCCTATGGCACAAGCTTAGCAACTGCTACGAACTGGGGTTTGGTATTTTTAGTAACGTACTACTCGAATGAAATTACAAAACTGATCGGATTTAATGGTCTTTTCATAATGTTCAGTATATTTTGCATATTAGCCGCTGTGTTTGTATGGATTTTCGTTCCAGAAACAAAAAACAAAACGTTTGCTGAGATACAGTTGGAGTTAGGTGGAAATTTGCCTTCAACATCAACTGGTCCTTAAAGCGACAAAATAAAATAATTGCAAAATAACCATTATATGAATTATTAAATAAAAAACAAATTAAGTATAAACATATAACCACCAAATGATGAGTTTTTTTTTAAATGTTTCGATTTTCTAGTTACAGAAATTTGAGAGTTATTAGATGTAATGGAATTTTTTCTTAAAGAAAACTTTGCAAGTCCATCAGACTTGATATTAAAATAATTGTTAGCATGAATTATTACTGTATTTACATAGCTTATTGTACTACGTTATAAATTAATATTATATTTTGTTTATATATTCATATTAAGGTATACACAAATCAAATTATGTTATTACATTTATAGTGGTTTTTATTTTAAATATAAAATACTGTAAATTAAATTTTATCTTGACATTTGTTATTTAAATTAGTCCCATACAATGTGTATAGATACAATTTGATAATATGGTTGTGAGTTCAATAATAAAATAATGTTGATTTAATTTAATATATTTATTCATTGATTCAATAAATATACTTTTAATTTAAAAAATTGGGATAATTTATTTAAAAAATGTATCTTGCAATAATAGTATTAAGATTTATTCAATTAACCGTCTCGTAATATTTCTATACAAATTTATAAAATAAAGTTATAAAACTAATAATAATTTTTTTTAATTTAATAAATCATTTTTTTGATTTGAGTTTAATAAAATAAAATTTTTAATATTAACAATTGCCTTTATTGGCCGTATTTCAATAACACAATTATCAAATCAACCTATAATGATGATGATTTTTAGTTCAGTGTGTGTGATTAAGGATGAGTACTTTCAATGAAAATTTGGTTAAGTCGTCCTGCATAGTTAATATATAATTATTTGCAGATAACGTTGTTAATAATGGTCCTACAATATCTAAAAATATTTTTTTAAAAGGATTTTTCAAAGTCGATGTTATTGCATTTTTATTTTCCCATTTGTTATTTTATTCTTTTGGTAGGAATTGCAATTCTTAATACATTTTTTGAACATATTGTGTCATATTTGGCCAATTATATTGTTGTTTTATTTTTTTAAATGTTTTATTAAATTTTAGGTGTCCCGCTAGTTTAGAATTATGGAATTGATCTAAAATAATTTATTTATCCTCATCACTACATTATGCAGTGGCTTAGAATATAATATATATTAGTAGTCTACATATAATTATTTCAATGTTTGTATTACGAAAAACCGTATCATTACTCTAACTGTGTCCCACTTTAAATTATCGAGTTGACCTAGTTTACTCATCGCTATTTTATTTTATATGCGGAAATCTTTCAAGTTCATGAAATCTACGTACTTGTTCTCGTAGATTGTTAATTTTTTGTCTTTATTTTTATTAATTATAAATATTATAAGCCGATTGTCATTTTGATAATGTTGTATGCGTAGGCGTGCATAGACTTCAACTTCCGGTCGAGCCTGAATACAATTAACGCCCCAATACTTAGACAGTAACCCTAATTTTTTTTTCTAACACTTCAACATAGTAGATTCTGTTGTAAATTTAAAACAATGTAGTATTTATATATATACATAGAAACTACTCTCTGGTAACATTAAATTATTTCCGTATTTCTGTTTTAACTCGTAATCAATTCCCGATTTAAAATCATAATGCTTTGCAATTTCCGAAACTACCTATATAAAAAGGTATTCTTAAGGTGTTTCAATTAGTTTACTTATTGTTTCTTTAAAATGTTTATTTGAAAATAATTTTTTTCCAAATATTTTCTAAATTATTCGTTATTATTTTGTTTAATTTTGACGATAGTGTACATTCTGTACGACACCTCGACGTTACCATTTATTACTCCCGGTTGCATATGAACATCAAATACATTACTATATGATTTTTTTATTTGACATCTACATAGACAAAGGAAATCGATAATAACAAATAGAAGCTGAGCGTTTGAAATGGATAGCTGGATACGTTTAAAGTTTGTGCTGAACCGGAGTCCGTATATATACTGCTGAATCGCTTCCCCTTTTATTTCCCTGTCATCTAGTTGTTTTTCGCAGTTGTGTAATCCGTTTATTATTATGTTTTTTGTCGTTCATTGATATTGATATTTGCACCTGGCTTTTCACAATTGGTTCATGGTCATTTTTACTTTTTTTTACATCGTACATATTACAATTACAAAGTAATTAACAAATTCGTACAAAAAATATAATGATACTTGTACCAATTGGATCCAACTAAACAAGTCGTGGGGACGCTCCCCCCCCCTCGGGACGGTCCTGGTGTAACGTCCCCTCTTTAAATTCCTTCGAATCTACTTACTGGTGAATCGAATTCTTTTAAAGGTATGTTTATTGTTTACGAGCTCTCGGGGACTCGACCTCGGTGTGTTATACTTAATATCTATGGAATAGGGTTACCTCATATAAAAGTACAAGATGAGTGTTACTAATTAAAATGTATCAATAATATTGTACTTTACGTGGTAGATGTTGATGATAGGAATAAGTGAGGACCGTAGGGGACTTGATGTTGATGGTATTCTAGTGTCCCTCTTTGTACGGTAAAGCTAGCTGACTTCCTCTTCTACTGGTTGTCCACTATTACTCGTTGTCATTATATATCCATGCTAAAACTCATAGTCAGCGTTTGTCAAGATCTCATTCCTTTTCCACACACTCAACACATTAGCCGGGTTGCGTATTAACGTTCCCTACTCGAAACGAGCCATAGGCTCAAATGGAACCTCCTGATAGGCTCTTCGATTGCGCGCTTTTTTTTGATTTTGATAAAATTCGTTAAAATTCGTTATCAATTTTGTTTCACATTGTGTTATAATTGAAAATGTAGTGTTTTTATATTTTTGTAGATTTTTATAAAAGTTTTTAACACAGACTGGTTAGTAACTGAAAATGTTGGTACTTAGTACAATATATTATGACTTATGAGTATTTAAAATTAAAAATACAGTATAATAAAATACAAGTACACATTTTTAGAACCATACCAAAATATAATTATAAATAATCAATCTTCATAATATAATATAACAAACAAATGATCAAAAACAAAATTGTATATTAACACCTGCTAAAATAAAGAAAATATGTATTTCTGAATATAATCTACTATAAGTAATTAAGTAGATACTTATTAAACTAAAAACTGTTTTAAGTTTAAAAGTTAATAGGTATATTAGAGTAAGTAAAATTTAAAAAAAAATATTAAACCTTTATAGTAATTTAATAAAATTATTCCTTAGCACCCATTAAAATAAAGAAAAAAAATCAGACTTAAAGTAGTTAATGAGACCTTGTGTGCGGTATGTTATTCCTAATATTTTGACCAAAGCAACGAACTCGTTTTTTCCTAATCCTCGTGGCATTTTCAATATTAGTAGGGCGACCTGCTTGAATACGTTTTGCTCCATTACTTATTTGTCTTACTCGTCTTGCCCTGGAAGTTGGTTGGGTACCAATTAATTTTCCACGTCAAAATTTATTGAAAAACATGTCTGTGAAGTCAGATACAGTTTTTATGTTACCCAATATTTTATTGAATTGTTTCATATTTTTTAATACCATGCTATTACTTTGATTGTTTTCAACTAAATTTTTTATAGTGTCAATATTATTCTGAAGTACACTAATTTCTGTGGTAACTTCATTGGGGATATCTAAGCAGTCATTTTGGATAACAGATATATTGTTTATTTCATTATCTTTGTCTTCATCTTCATTGCACAATGGTTGATTCAAATTAAATTGTGAGTTTAATGTGTGTGACAAATTACCAGAATTAATATTTTCCAAAGGTTCCGGAGATTCCATAGGTTCCAAAAATGTTGGGTCAAAAGTATTGCCTACAGCTAGATTTCCCAACTGGATTCTATTTGTAATGGTGAGTATAGGCATGTTTTCAACTATAAAACCATTATAATGAATGGCACATATATGCTTACAAAATGCTCCACCAATTCCAGCTGGGCATTCACAATATTCATACCCATCATACACAATAACATCATATGTCAAGTCGGATGTTGTTAATGATGAAACATTATATTTTGTGCTAGTGACTTGAGTAACTTTCAGTTCTTTAGTTTTGTGTAAAAGTGAGTTGTACATTAACTGACCTTTAGTTACCCTATATGATACAAATTTGATGAGACGTCTCTTATGGTAGTCTTCGAGTACTTGAAAAATAAAGTCTACTAATGCTGCAGCATTATATGCCTTACATCTTTGAAGAACAATATCCTTAAATATACGAATAGAGGACTCAATAATATTATTAGTGTTGTAACCATGAATTGATAATTTTTTTCTAAAGCAAACAGCCCACTCTGTCATTCGATTTTTTAACGATATCATATGTTTGGAAAATATCACATTTGAATCATTGCACAATTCTTCCATTAATTTAAGGGCTACATCTTCATCATGAGCAAACAACACTGCTCTAAATTTAATCATTTTCAACTGTCTTTCAGATTTCTCAATTGTATGTTTACTTTCCCAGAGCCACCTCCATAATGCCTGACAAACATGAAATGCACAGAGTAATAATTTTGATTCTGAAAATACTGTAGCAAGGGCTTGGCGTTCGGCTCCACTATCATCTGTCATAAATACAGTAGGATGCAGATAACCGTTAAATGCAATATCTCCCAAACATTTCTTCAACAAACTAAATGCGTTTACATAATCATGTATAGTTTGATGCTTGTGAATAATTACACCAAGTGGAATCCCACCAACTTTGGATGCACCAAAGAAAAATGTCACTGTAGAATTCCCTTGATCACATGAACTACTTGAGTCAACGAAAACAATATCTCTTGAAAATGGAAAACTGTGAGCTCTTCGCATAATTGGTGTTACAACAGCGATACCTAGAGGACTTTCAGAAATTTCCATTAATCCACCTTCTTTTTGAATAACTAATTGTTTTTCTTTGAGGACTTTAATAATATCTTCTGTGCGATCCCCAAATTTTTTTGATCTAAAAATAT